CCATTGGACTAGTACTTCCATTTCTATTTTTATCCAAATACTTTATGATAAAAATTTTTATCAACTCCATTTATCTCAATTGAACTGTTGAAACCAAAATCATGTGTCAATTAAATTGGCCTAACTTTGAATGAATGAACTAGATTAGCAGAAGCATGAAAAACAGCACCAAAAGCCGTAAATTCATCTCCATATGTATTTACAATACTACCAAAATAAATTGCTAACACTTATAAGATTTTTGGTATTCTAATGCTTCCATCTATTAATTCTTAAATATTAATATCCTCTTTTGTTTTATTAAATTTTTTCATACTTTTTTTATAAGATCAATTAATTATTTGAGTATATCTTTAAATAATATATCAAATTTTGATCTTTAAATAGATGTATCGAAAATAAAAAAAAAGTATTTCTTCTTTGTATTAATTTTGAATAGGATCAAAATTTTCCAAATTTATATATTAATTTAAAAATAAAGCAAAATCTAAACAAGTCTTGAATATTTAATTTAATTATATTTCTTTTTAAATAGAATAAAAAAAATTTAAAATTTACTTTTTTTTTTGCTAATAAGATTTCTTTGTATTGATTAACTGCTTTCAATAATTTATTCATTTCTTTAGAATTATCTTAAAGTTTCAACTTTTTTTATTTAGTATAGCATAGAATTCTACTAAGAAACCTAAATATTTTATGACCCTATATTATAAAATAAAGTGGTATGTTTATTCTCATCTTAACGTTCAAATGCATAACATAAAGCAGCACCATTTTTTTCATTAATAATTTCTAAGACTTCTAATTCTGCTAGTTATTCAGCTGATTTTAATGCTTAAATTTGAAAATAACGATCTTTAACTATCATTCCATTCACTTGGGACTGTCAATATAATATCTTTGATTTACATTTAATGATTAAGATTAACTAATTTATCATCATAGTATTTTTTCCTTCTACTTATATACCATCAACTTAAAAGGTAAAAAATTCTAACCCTCTAAATAAGTTGTTTATAACTTTACCTTTTCAATCTCTATTCTAAAATCTTCATAAGACTATTTAGAAATTTTAACTAATCATTTGGCTTATGCTCCTAAAAATTTTTTTAAGAATGCAAATGTATTTGTAGGTGATTTTGTTTTTTGGGAGCACCATCATTTTCATATAAAAGCTTGTTATAAAATGCAAACTTAAGTATATATTATTGATCATACCATTTTCAGTTTTTCGTTTGCTTCTGATAGTAAAAGATTTGCCTGGACTTATTCAATTGCTTTAATGAATTTAGATCCAAAATTACACCATTAGCAATTATCTAAGAGACAAAGGAGCAAAGTATTTTATCATTAATAACAGCAATAAATATTCTAGAATAATTAGAAACTCTCTAATATACGCGTGTATTATAAAAGTGTATCAGTTAATTTTCTTAGAAATCTCTTCATATAATAACTCTCACAATTTCTTAATCAAAATTCTTCTTATCTATGATAATCCTTTTATATCAAATGACACTGTATATATTTAAATGTATCTATATAATCTAAAAATCCTCATTTTTCTAAATAACGAAAAAGTTATAATTATTTTTTTTCTGGTTTTTTACTAGCTTACTTGAAATCATTTCAGCTAACAAAATAATATTTCTAATTTCTTATTGATCATAACTCTAAATTCATCATCGTACATAATATCATCAAGAGTTCAAATTTAATTATCCAATATTATTCTAATTACTTTGTTTAAACATTAAACTCTTTACTTTTTAAAGGATCAGATGCATCCTTGAATAAATAATCTATACAATTATCAAAACCTTTCACTGCTTCTTTTAAACCTTCAATATCATTCAGATCTTAATAATTCACTAATACTTCTTAAGAAGAGGGCATCATTTGTTTATTCACATTCATATTCCTTTCATCATACATCATACTCAGATTCGCAAAACATATCAAAATCTTCTAACCAATCTTATTAAGTGATTTATATATTATAGCTTCATTTCTCTAAAAAAATTCTAAATATCATTCAATGTCCTATTTTCATGCAAATTTTCTATAGATTCCTCCTAAAATTCATAAAATACATTCTTATTGGTGAAAAAAACAAAACACCTCTTTATAAACTACTATAATCATCTTTTTCCAACATTTTAATATTTCTTATTTTGAAAATAACCTAATGGATCTAAATACTCAATATATTTCAATATCAATTGTATTCTTTAATCCTACTATCATATTTACTATATTATCTATCATATAACGGCATCTATTCTACTAATCAAATATAATACCATAAATAAAACAAATATTTTATAAATCTTCCTGTATATAATGATTCTATATATTCAAATTCATCAAACAATTTCTTCTTTAATCCTTATCTCAATATAGAAATTGAATCTAAGGATTATCAGCTTATAAATAATTCTTTATTTCATATTTCTAAATACTTGTTAGTCTGTTCTTCTAAAGTTATTTTAATTCAGAAATTGAAGCTCAATACTTTATTTATTCATAATAAACTCCAGTCAAAAAACTAGTCCTAAGACCTCTTCATATTATTCCTATTATTAACAATCTATCTTTTGACTAAATGTAATGCATTTTCTTATTACTTCCTCAAGGATTTAGAGTATTTCATTTCCCAATCACTCCTTAAATTCACCTATTTTAAGCCAACTCTATCTGGCCAATTCTTATTACAATGCAACTTCAGCTCTTGCAATATTTTTTTAATTTGTTCATCTAAATCTCCTTAAAATATATTTTCATTAGTATATCTACATTACATTCTACTTTAATACATATTTGTTTATATTAATTACTTTGTAGAATTTAAGACTCACTTAATTTTCTCCATCATTATTATTAAGTCTTTTAATACTCATTATTTACACCCATTAATATAATTATAAATCCATAATTATTTTTAATTAAAAGTAGTGGTTTATTTCCTCAATTTTATTTCCAACCAACATTCATTATTTAAATGATAATAAATTCTCAACAACTCTTCAACCTATCCCCATTATGTCAATGATTCATTATTTTCAACAAGTTTCCTTGATAACAAATTTCCAATTATTATATTCAAAAATTAACTTTAATTATATAGTCTTCTAATCAATAATCTTTCTATGATTCTTGTTTATGGATCCATAAATAATATTTCTTCTTTAATTTCATTCTTTTAGCATAATAATTTAATTAATGAAAAACTTCTTGATCATTTTATTACCAACTAGCAAATACAAAATCTCTATCAACTATTCTTCTTGAAACAACAGTACCATCATTTAATTTAAAATTTATAATCTTCCATCTTAAGTGATCTTCCTTTTAATCATCCTTCTTAGTGTCTATTAGTATAAACCAAAATATCTTTCTTTATTAATTTTTAAGCAATAACTGATAATATCTTTTTTCATGTTCCATCAGTTAATTTTGACCCTTATTCCTTTTTCCGTTAAGTTAATGATTAAACATTTTCTATATCTTTAAAAATCCTTTTACTTTATATAATATCTAATTTCTATTCTAATATTTAATATTATATAATCTACTAATAAGTTTTTTTGAATTTAATATATGTTTATTATAAAAAGATCTTCTCTTCCTCATATTAACCAGGATTACAATTATACTTCAAACATTCTAATAGATTTCTATTTTCATTCTTATTATAATTAATTCAGATGGACTTTCATTCTCTACTATGCTTCTTAACAAAAATTTTCGACCACCTTATTAATCAAGAATATAATCACTTATTTTCATTTTATCAAAGGTTAATATGGAAGTGCTGTCAATCTTCTTTCCTATTTCCTTGTTCTAAGATTTTAATCAAAACTTTTTCTTTTAATTTATAAGGTTCATGTACATTTATTATTTATTCCATAATTATTAACACATTTACTTCTTTATAACTACTAACTTGATTCTAAATTCTTTCCTGACAATATCTTATGTCCATTTTAATTAATTCCTTTTAGTCATCCTAACTATAAAGTTTAATCTCCTTTTGCATCGTGTTATCTTCGTTCTAAGATATGTTCATATAATCAGTTTTCTTCATGATATACTTATCTTCCTTTTAATGAGATTTCCTAATTATTTTTCTCTTCTATTTAGTAATTCTTTGCATTTACTATAATGACTTCTTTTTTAATATACATTCCATTTAATGCTTATTGTTTTCAACTTGCTGTCCTTGATAAATTCAATTACCATCATTATCATTCTCTTATAAACAATTTCTTAACTTAACTATTTTCTGATACTATGTTTTGCTAACCAATTTCCTAACTAATTATGCATCCTTTATCTAAGCAAGCATTTCCTCTATATAAATTTGATAGGCTCCTTTCTAAATACTACATCTATCCTCATTTATTATCAATAACCCATCCTTCTTTTTACAATTAATCATAAAATTATTCATCTTATACAACTCTTTTATGGTTACCTCTTGACTACTTTAAAAAATCATCTGTTTATAATTCTGAATTCTCATGATTCAATTTGAACATCTTATATTTTCCTTTGCATTTAATTTGTCTTAGGATTGAGTATAGATACTTTCTCTTCTATAAATTGAATTGGTTCTGCCTTACCAACCACCAATTGTAATTTTCCGTCTTATTTAATTATACATCTAAATTATGTATATTAATTATCTACTAACCTTTGATAAAATAACATTTTCATCTTAATCAGTATCCTTAACATTATCCAACTTAGTATTAGGATTATAAGGTATACGATCTAATTTTTCTTTCTATTTATTATGTTCCAAGATTCAACACCAATATTTCTTCTACTATATATTTTATAGACTCATTCTATTATTTTCACCATTGTACCATCAGCTAAACTATTTTCAACAATATATCTTTAATAAACTCTATTTATTTATTTTTAATTTCATAAATTATTTCCTTCATTTAATTAAGAATCCTTTTAAATTCATATCCTTCTTAGAATTTTTTCTCCATCATTCCTGATTCTTTATTATCTCTTCTTTAATAAATTTTATAGGTTCTCTTTATGATATTTTTTTTTCTAATTATCTATTATATTCTCCTTCAATAAATTTAGTCGGTTCATTCTTAAATAATTACTTTTAAAAAGTTCTATTATTTTATTCAAAATCCTTTCCTTCTTGTCATTTTATCATTCTTACTGTAATAACTTCTTCTTCAATAAATAAGTCTGTTATTGTTGTTTGATAATCTTCATCAATAACCATCTTAATCTTTTTACCATTATTCTTATATTTTAATGATTCAAAACTATTAGCTCCCTTTCATTTATATATTTTTTAATTTAATTAATGATTTTTATAATTAATTATTTTAATTCTTTCCTTTAATATCCTTATAAAATTTTGCTTTGAGAAAATATTTACATACCAATATAAAGATTGATACTTTAGACCTTTAGGATCAGGCACATAATCATATTTAACATAAAGGACAATAAATTATAGTGGCTAATCGTTTAAGCTTTGATTCACATAATTCTTGAGTTTTACCACATCAATCTTCA